CATATACCGTATTACCGCGAAATAACGATCAACCGGCCCGAATTAAGCTTACAGCTATTATCATTATTTCTGGGTCATCTGAAAATTCTTCAGGTGTCCCAGAAATAATGATAATAGCTGTAATGAAAAAAATCCGAATGACAGCAATAATAAAAAATAACTTTAGGTCATGATATTTTTAATAATTATATGTGACTGGATTTTATTAGCTCGATAAACACAAAACATCCAAAAAAAATTTGTTAAAAAAATACATTAAAAAATAAAGTTCAAAAGCTTATAAAAAGTCGAAATAACATTTAACAGGCAACAAAATTTAGCAAAAAAAAATCAACTGAATTAACAAATGGATTAACAAATGGATTAATACATATGTTTGTTAATATAAAAACCATTTTATATTATCAGTTTTATTATTTAATCGTAAGCACAATTTTTTTGACAGTTTGGAAATTGAAAAAGCAATAATCACTTTTCTACAAATATGTGTATGAATTTTACTTGTCTAAATTTTTTTTCTTTTTATATAATCATTGAAAATTTAGTATCAACAATTTTGATTATAAGTATTTCAACACAGATTGTTTTCTATATACTATTATGGATAAAATAATACCATTATTGTAAAATATTTATAAATTAGTAAATAGTTATTCTCAATTCAATAAATTTATATATAAAAATGAAATGTCTTACCAATGGTGTGAGGTTTATTTTTAATTTGATCTATTATTATACATCATTAGAACTAATGGCAGCATTAGGATTAGCTCCAAATGATCCATGTTTTGCTTTTTTTTGTTGGCGAGCCCGAAAGAGATCATAATCAGGCGGTCGGTTAATTCCGGGACCGCCTATATCATTAATATAAAACAATACATTTAATATACATTTAGAATAAAACATGATAAGGATTTATAAGCACAAAATTACCTCGACCCTGAAAATCTTCTGTTTCAGCATCAAATTCCCTTCTTCTACGTTTGAATTGTAATCCACGCGTTGGAGGATTTGGACCCTATTTCGATTAATAACGATAAAAATTGAATAGTTGTATATTTAAAAAAAAGATTTAACAGGAGTTCAAAAATTTATTTACCCTCATCTGTTTTCCAAAAAATTCACCCTGACGTGCTCGACCTCGACCATTTTCTAAAGGCCTGTCATAATTTCTGGATCCTTCGTACCTTCCATCACTACTATATCCTCTACCATCACCACGAGCTGGACTACCCCCTCGAGATCTATCTCGAGGTTGTGATTGAAGTGAATGTTGTGCCAGCGGTGTGTTTAATAAACCATTTCCGCCTATGGTGGCATTAGATTGTGTCGGTATAGAATTGCGAATTATATCCATTAAATCGATTGGATTTATAATTGGACCTGTGGCCATATTAATTTGATATTAGGTTGATAAGGACAACAATTGAGATGTATTAATAATAAATTGACACAAAATTATAATATATAGAATAAAGTTAGAAAACATGGTGTATACCATTATAACTTGAAGCCGAAGGTAATATTGACAGGAATTTGGCAATAACTTCTGGAAGCATCACTCCATTTGCTGTACAAGTCCAATTTAGGGATACAGATTGTGCAGTATTTTGTGAGGAAGGAGAATGCCCACGAGGTACAGAAGGACCAAGTGGTTGTGGAGTAACACCTATTGATTGGGAACCTAAAGGAGGTGATGGACCAAGTGGTTGTACTGAACCTCCCGCTTGGGTAGGTGCTGATTGACCAGAAGAAACAGGTGGTGGAAAAAATGGTCGTCTTAATTGTTCCGCTGTAGGTTTATATAAAACCCATTGTCGAAAATCTGGTCGAGGATACTTTTCTGGATGAACAGAATCCAATAATGCTCTCCGTGTAGGTATCACTTCGTGCTCTTCTTCATTTTGAATTTCTGATGGTGGACTGTCGATAATTTCTGGATCGGCTAAGGGGAGAACAAAATGTGGTAAACAAACTGTAAATTCAAATACAGAAGTATGATAAATGTTGCTTACGTTTTGGACCAACTTCTTTATGAAGTATGATATTAGTATCTAAAAAGCTATAGCGTTCTGAAAACCTTGACAAGAAAGATTCTTAACAATGCAATACAAAATGTTAATTATAGGTATAATAGAGCAACGTGAACAAATCATAAAATAGCCTTACCTTCAGGGTATTCTTTTGCTCGACGTTCATCTATTTTTCGAATTACCGTTAGATCTCCGTAATTATTCTCGTACTTAGAGAATTGTTCCCATACAATTTTAGCCTTATCAGCTGGCATTGACATAAGAGTTCGTTCGAAAAGAGCTCTTGTGTCTTTAAGTGAATTTTAAGTTATTATTGGTATATCTCAGACATTTCATAATTTCAGTAATGAAGACTTACTGTTGTCGTCGTTTAGCTGGATAAGAAAATCAAGATATTGACTAACATATTCCGGATTATATATAAAATTCTTTAACCCTAGCTCAAAAATTTTTCCAGCAATCACTTGATCTTTGCTACAGTGATATTCCATCAAAGCTGTATAAAAATGAAAATATTAATTGTCAGCTTTAAAGAACGAATTACGTGTATACTCTCAACCTTACCTGATGCTACAAATACATGATAAGTGCAGTAATTTGACTTCCTGGCCTTGCTAAATATAAGACGCGCAGATTTAATACCCTTCAAAGAATTAAATGTTCCCATTAAGCAACTTAGTTTTTTGAACAATGAAACCCACAGAAATTTTAAAATCGAAGTTTATACCTCTGTACGCCTTGTAAATCTCATCAGCATAATCCAAACAAGCGAATAAGCACGTGATAATTCATCTATTTCGTGCTGCCTGCTTTCTTCAACTTTTGATCGTTCTTTTTCCAATTCCTTCTCTTTAATTCTTAATTGTTCACGAGTTTCGCCATCCATGTCTAATGTATTTTCATCTTCGCTAACATTATCAGTAGAATTCTTCATTAAAGCCTTGATTTCATCTGCGGTAGATTTTTCAATTTCTTCAATTTGATATTGGATGTTCAATAATAACGACTCGTACGCTTTACGGGATTCAGCGAATTGTTTTCGATGCTCTTGTAATTCAGCATAAGCAAAATGAACCAAAAAACTATATGTAAAAGAATAGTTACTATTTATTCTCATCAATTTAAATAAATTCATTTATTGTAAAATACAATATCAATTACCTGGTAGGCATAACTTCCATCGCAGTTTTTAACAAAGAGACCGCATCATCATCTTTTTTTATCGATACCCAATAATTTGCAGCTTCAAACCTAAATAATTGAAATGTAGATTTTGCATAAATGATGTTTATAAAAAATTTCCAAAATTCATGAAATTACCATATCTCTGGATAATAGCGCAAGTACATCATAGCTTGCTTATACACATAAATGACTCTCTGTGCAAGAGCAGATGGATCCTCAAGAGAAAGTGGGTTTAACATTTCCCATTCAATCCACTCTTTCCAATACGACAGCTATTTAATGACAAAGAAAGTTATAATGTTAAAATTGGAAATAATATGTGCATTGCAAAATAATAAACAAATAAGTAAACTACTTGTTCTTTTTCGTTCTTGCTCCACTTTGGTGGTGTAGGAACCACATTCTTGTTTATTTTATCTACAAATCGACGCATCTCTTTTACAGCGGTGCGTGCAGTCATATATGATGGTGAACGATCTTGCAAAAACTTTTTAGCCTGATATCGAACAGAATTAGTTAATACTAATGGTAAATAAGGGTGAGTTATTCGGACATAATAACTCACCGTTACTTTATTTAATGCATTCTCAAATTGATCATATTCTTTCCAAATATGTTCAACATGATTTAGAGGAATGCATATTGCCCTTTGATATGTCTTCCTCATAATATCCATTTTTTGTTGTTCTTCCCAGGCACTATGTGTTTCACCAGTTTTTAAGAAAAACAAATAGTCACTCCACAGAGTGCCTGCATCTTTATCTAAACCAATGTGATTGAGAACATATTCATAAGCTTTTGCAATAGTTGCTCTTGCCTGAGAGCTTGTTGCTGATCCTTTTTCAATTGGATTCATGCGCCGTACATAATTAAGATAAAATTTCCATAAATCAACGGAAAGAACAGAGCGAAGACAACGGGCAAATATAGCTTCCACTTTGTCGTAATGTTCATGTTTGAGTTCGTATTCAGCGTATTGTACCCATTGTCGTGACTAGATTAGTTGATCAAGCAACAATTTTCCAAATAAAAAAAAAAATAAAATAAAATAAAAAAAGAGGAATCGAACATTATATCAATCAATATACTGATCAAAATGAGTAAGTAGGTTTAAATTTATTTGAGGAAAAGGACTTTAACATAATTTTTCAACTTGAAAATTAATATTACAAACTGAAAAATATTCATCCAAATTTCCCTCGCATTTAGTAACCATTATTAAATATATAATTATACATCTTGATAAATAATTAAAAACAAAAAAAAAAAAAAAAAAAAGAAAAAAATAGGAACACAATAAAGAATTTATTTTGACAATAATATGTTTCTCTTATGGGTCTAAATAATATAATTTTTTTGAGCTAATAATAATTTGGACTCACTTACCGACGTAGGAAATTTTTGCAGAAACCTTTCAAAAACATCTCTGACTTTATCAATATCTGCCTTAGCCTGTACTTCAGCAAGGAGACCTAACCATGCTTCTGTATCGTAAACATTCTTTGAAATACGATTTTCGTACTTTTCAAACTGCATATTTTTCAAAGGTTTTTTTTGCTGCAAAGCACTTGGTGGAATTTGCCAAGAAGCAGGTTCCGCTGCCGGAGGGAGGGAGATGGTCTTCTGCGTTGAAGGTGCTGCTGCTAAGGAATTATAAGACATATTATTTGAAACATTTGACTGGTAATCAACCAAATCAACCACATTTGAACTACTAGAAGAGTTATTTGTATTGTCGTTATCATCAAGGTTTTGGCTTGGTCTATCTAAATTACCAGGCAACGGAATATTTTCGTTGGGATTAACCTCAATAGTATCAATAGGATCATTTATTTCATGTAAAAGACCACTATTACTAATTTGTTCCACTTCCTTCTCATTAAGGGAAGAAACTGTTTGTTCAGTAAAACTGTTAAAGTGCACAGGACTATTTAAAGTCCCTTCTTTTTTCACTTCAATGTCAGAAACATCCATTTGCATGGTAGACATTTCACGGAAAAAGATTGTTTATTACTATTATTACAAAAAAATCACAACTGTGAAAAATAAACACAACAGGAAATATATAAACTTTTTTTTTTTCTTTTTTTTTCTTGTAAGATAATTTCTAGATGCCTTAGTACTTCAAGTTAGTACTGTAGTAGCGAGAAAAAGAATTTTTTAAATGTAAGAATGAATAGTTTTTTTTATTGTCTATTTGTCATACTTAAATCCACATGATTTCATTTACTTGGATAATCATTAACCAACCATGGTAAACATTCATTCTGATTGGCTTATACAGTCATACAATATAAATAGTGTATAATCCGTGAAGAAGTCACGGGAAAAAATTAGGGAATGTGCCCAAAATTCCGGGTCGGAGCTGGGCCTGCATTAAATAATGTTAGCCAACATAGTCTATAGCAAAATCATTAGCTGAGGCTATGGCTTCATTAGTAAAAGTGCATATACAAGATCCCCTTCCCCACTTTCTTTTTTTTACTAATTAATTTTTTGGTGAGATGTAAGAGACCCGGTCTTGCATATGCACTTTTACAGCAATCAATTCCGCCATCCGACCAGAATTTCGACCAGGAATTTTGGGGATCCTCCTGTATGAGTTGAAAGTTCTTGCGTAAATTTTTACAGGGCAATTACCAAAATTCCAGGTCAAAATGCTGAGCCGGCATTAAGCAATATTAGCCAATACCGGGCATTAGAAAAGTCAATAAACAGTCACTGGAAATTGCGAGATGAAAACCACCGTTTAACACTCACTTTCAAACGGTGATTTTCCAACCATCTAAAACAATTTCAGATCATGTGAATTATGTATATTTCAGTATTCCAAAGAATGCACATTAACAAGAAATGATTTAAGTTCTAATTTCAGCATCAATTTTATCAAATTAACCGTTATTTTTAAAAAAAAATAAAATAAAAATAGAATCAAAGCCACAATAACACTAGAATCCTGTGGGTCATATATTAGATGCACTTTCAAGTAATTAAAATTGAATTATTTTTTAAGACGTTTTGTTACGTATACTAGACCCCATTAATAAATTAAATAATGTATATCGATATATTTAGAAGAATTGAATGAAATTAAATAAGTTTAAATAATTGAAGGATCGCAATAACATATTCCGATTGCAATAATAAAAATCAAAAAATATTATTATTGAAACAGACAAAACAACAAATATTTATAATTCGTATTTTATTTATTTATTATCTTTATTGCCATTGTTATTTTACGTATTATCGTTAAATAATTTCACTGCATAGGAACGTGATAAATTAAATCATATGATCTGAAAGTGGGTAATTATCTTCCCCAGTTATCGCCGTCAAAATTTTCACTTTCACGTGACAGTATTTTGGCGTACAACAAAATCTTTAAATTCGTGTTAGTGCTTACGATGGCGTTAGACATTAGTGGAAAATATAGTAAAATTGCTCAAGGAAATTTTTTTGTTAGAGTGCAAACGGTCGTTTCTTATGTAAATTTTTGAGAAATAAACGATTCTTGAAAAAGCGAACGTTTTGTTTTGATCTTCCTGATTGTGTAACGTTACATCAAAGCGAGGCTCGCTATTGGATAAGCCACTGTAGATCCTCACGTGAAAGTGAAATTTTGACGGCAATACTGGGGTAGTTGTGGGTAATTTAACCCCGGTTTGATTTTCTTAGTCCATTCCTCATATAATCATTATCATAATTTCTACATAAGACTAAAATCAAAAAAGGATCCGTTTAGTGACTTTTTTAACACCCGGTATAATCTATATCAAAATAATCAGCCGGGCACTCTTACTTAATGAATAGGCTATGACTTCATTGGTAAAATGTTTAGTGATCTTGAGAAAGTTAATCACTTCCGACCCGGAACAGACTAGTAGCGCGACAAGAAAACGCCCTATTTTGTCGGCAGTCATTTAACCAATGAGCACTGCAGAGCAAAACCCTGTAACCGAACATAATAAATCATTATGATCAGTTGCAGGTTTTCGCTCTGCAGCACTCTAATATGGGGTTTTTGCCTTGCCGCAGATATTGTACAGATAGTGTTCTAAGCTGATTACAGCTGTTTTCATAATTCCTGAGACACCTGTAAAAAATTAGCCGAATGATTTTTTGGCCGATCCGGGTAGTTATTATTTCGGCATAATAGATTCAATAAAATTGGTATGTACGTAATCTATTATGTCGAAATAATAACTTAACTGGATCGGCCGAAAAATCATTCGGCTAATTTTTTACAAGTGTCCCAGAAATAATGAAAACAGCTGTAAGCTAGCCGTTTAGCCGGCAGCTTAGCCGCTTAGCCGGCTAATAACGGCTAATAATAACTAATAACAATAATAACAATAACACTTCAAACAACCTAAAGAATATCTAAAATATGTTAGGCTATACTAAATTTAGTACAGTGTTAAAAGTTAAATTTTAAAATCTTTTATTATTAACTTCAAATTAAATTTATTTAATATATAATTTGATATTTATATTTTAATTTAGTATATTTAAAAATTAGTTAACTTATCAAAATTATATTAATAAATTTAAATTTTAATTTGTTACTAAAAATATACTATAAAATTATTAAAAAATTATTAAATTATAAATAGCAAAAATTTTATTTGATTAAATTCTTTTAAAATATAAGTAAAAGTTGTAGAGCTAGTTTTTCTGATTCTAATAATAATAAAATTATTAAAATTGTTTTAGTATATAAAAAGTTATAACTAATTTAATTTAATTAATTTTTACGCTATTTGTACTATGTTTTTACTATGTTTTACTATATAAAATAGTAAATAAACTAACTATTTTTGGGCTTGTATTATTTTAAAACAGGTTTATTTAAACTATTTTAAAAAATTTTTATTTATTTTTTTTAATTATTCTAAAATCAAATCTAGATCTAAAATAATTAAAAATTTTTATTTTTCTTTATTTTTTTATAAACTTTTATATAATATTATTTTTTTAATACTATACTAAATTTAGTATAACAAAATTTTAATAAAATATAAAGAGCTTAAAATTAAATTATATAAAAACTTTATTAATAAGTAATGCTAAAATTATACAAAAAAATAGCTCTAATATTTAAATATATTTTGACAAAATTTAAATAAATTTGGTTAAATAATTAATTTAAAATATATATTTTTTATATATATTAAATTTAGTATAAAAGGGCTATGGATATCCATTAAATATGATTTTAGCAAAACAAAAACAGAGCGATAGTAATTAAAATCTTAAATAATTTTTTTATACATTATTATAAGATCAACTTATAAACTTAAATTTATTAAAAACTATCTCTTATTTTAGCTAATAGATAAATTAAAATCAGAAAATCTGTGCAATCAATTATTATTTTTTTTTTGGTGTTAAGATGACCCCTTCGGTCAAGTACTTTATTATTGTTTGAATTACTTTTACAACTAGATGATCTATATCCGTTGTATATATATTTCTATATATATAATTTTGATACAATACTTTTTAGTAATTATCTTAGAACATTTTTATTCTTGGGGTAAACTTGCTAGAGCCTTCTGTACTCACAATCTGGCTGACTTAGATTTCAGTTGATATGCACTGGCTGAGGTTCGCCACTTGCGTCTCAGTTTTCTGATCGCTACTACACAACCTACTTCTGCCTTTATAAAAATTACATACTACTAAACAAAATAGTCTCTACTCTAAATTTATCTACATAATATATGAAAGC